CCCCCCACCGACTCTAAGATCCTCACCCCGCTGCCCAGCCTGGGGCTGGGCTCATGGACCCTCCTCTTTCTCCTCTTTCCTGACAGACTCTACCTCCCTTGACCTTGAGTCCCGGCCCGTTCACACTGCACCTCTAGCCACACACCCAGCAGGGGTAGCAGAGACTCAGGAAGCCCCAGAACAGCCTGACACGGTAAGGGGAGAGCTCCGCAGGGAGGGGTGTGTGGCTCTGGGTCCAGACCCTTCTCTAACCACTTAGGGCCTTTTCAGAGTCCTGTTTCTGGTCGGAAGAAATCAAAAGGTAAGAGACGTACTTGACTGGCTGAGGGTCCCCTGACAGGAGCTCTTCAAAGTCTTTCCAGTGTTTGGCAAGACGCAACACCCCACCCCTGCCCATTGCACACACAGCGTCTCCTCAGCAGCCTGGGCCTCTCACCAGCTCTGTGACTTTGGGCTATGAGCTCCTCCTCTGATCTTCCATTTCCTTGTCTCTCAAATGGGAAGAGTCAGCCCTACCTCAGGGAGAGACCTGTAACTCTTGAAGCACAGTGCGGGTTCAGAAAGATCAGCTGGGAATGCTGGTGCGGGGGATGGGGGGCAGTTGGGGGTGTCTGGGGTGCCTTTTCAGCCCCTGATCACCTGGGCTGGGCCGTGCTCCTGCAGGCGTGGCGACACGGCTGAGTCGCCGGCGGGTGTCATGCCGGGAGCTGGGCCAGCCAGACTGCGACGGCTGGCTTCTGCTGCGCAAGGTGCCGGGTGGCTTCATGGGCCCTCGCTGGCGCCGCTGCTGGTTTGTGCTCAAGAGACACACGCTTTACTGGTACCGCCAGCCCCAGGTGAGCCCCCCGCCCCATGCACGGGTCAGGGTGGGAGTCAGAGCCACGGTCCTTGTCCTTATTCCTCTAGCCCCTCCATCTGTGGTCACAGGCAGGCCGCAGATCACCCCCCCACGCAAGCCCTATCTGTAAAATGAGATCGCTCTTTGGAGAGAAATGAACGGATACATGTGTGAAAGCAGGCTGAGAAAGGCATCATGGGCAGCGTAGAGAGTCCTGTTCCCTCTGCCCACCTTTCTTTCCTCTTCTGTTCCTCCGTCTGTCCCATTTATTCACTCCGTGAGCATTCCAGTGCCTGCTGAGTCCCCCACTCTGGGCCTCATACTAGGGATGTAGGGCAGACAGGGACAGTCCCTGCTACTCCGGGCTGGCAGTGCGGGGGATACAGGCACACTCAAGGACAGTTCGGGGAACGCATGCTCTGATGAAAAAAAGCTCAGAGATGGGTAGGAGCCCAGTGGCGTTGTCCAGTCCAGCCTCAAGAGCTGAGAAGTCCCCCTGGGAAATCAATGCCTGGGGGTCATTCAGATGGAAAGGAAAAAAAAAAAAAAAACAGGAAGGGAGAAGAGCGTTTGCAAAGCTCATCTAAGAACAAATGCATAAGCAGTCTTCTCCCTTGTGGCTGTTTTCCTGGCTGCCTTTGGCTCCCCTTTCCCGGCTTAAGAGCCCCACCTTGGTCGTGTCCCCTGCCTCCACCCCAGATTCCTGCCCTGAGCTCTAGGCACTGGGAGATTTGTGTTTGGAGAGCCCAGGAACCACTCTCTCCTGTCCCTGCCCCCAGAGCCTGACTGGGCCTCCAGGGTAATGGGACTGCAGGCTGACCCTCACTCTGTGATTCCCCCCAGGATGAGAAGGCTGAGGGCCTCATCAATGTTTCCAACTACAGTCTGGAAAGTGGGCAGGATCAGAAGAAAAAATAGTTAAGTCCTGGAATGTGACACACGGGGGGCTGGGGCAAGAAAGGGAGAGAGGAGGAGGCGGCGGTGGGGAGCAGCAGGTAGGTGGGATTCCTGGGGCAGCCTCATGGGTTCTGGATGGGCACCACCAGGCTGATTGAGGCCCCCCATGCCACCTGGCAGTGTGTTCCAGCTCACGCATGACGTGTACAAACCCTTCATTTTTGCTGCTGATACCCTGGAGGACCTGAGCATGTGAGTGCCACCTCCCCCTTACACCCCCTCTCCCACATGAGGGCTTGCGAGCCTGGCTCAGGAACCTGGATCCCAAGCCCCACTCTCTGATAGTGGCTGGTCAGGGCACTCACTTCTCCAAGCCTCAGTTTCCTCATCTATAAAACGGGTTAATAAGAGTTCCTACCTCTCAGAGGTGCTCTGCGGATGAAGTTAGAAGATGATAAAGGTGAAAATCCCCTGGCATATGGTAGATGAAAACTCCAAGACCCGTTTGCCCCCCGCCCATAGGTGGGTACGCCATCTCATTACCTGCATTTCCAAGTACCAGTCTCCAGGCCGGGCCTCCCTGCCCCGAGAGGAAGGTGGGTATCTTACAGGGGTGGGTCCCACCAGGTGGGTCTCAGTTGAGCCTCTGTCTCTCCTAGAATTGGGACTGGAAACTCCAGTGCCCTAGCCTACTCCCTGGCCTCCCCAAACCCTGTGGGCTTAGGGGGCTCCCTCTCTGCTCCTGTCCCCCGCAGACTGCTACAGTGAGACAGAAGCAGAAGACCCTGACGATGAGGCTGGGTCCCGCTCAGCCTCGGTGAGTAGGCGACTGGTGGGGAGCGGAAAGCAGACCATAGGGCTCGGAGTGACACCCACCTCTCTGTATACCCTGCCCACAGCCCAGCCCAGCCCAAGTGTGGAGTCCACTCCATGGAGACACATCACCTGCAGCCACCCCCACCCAGGGCAGCCCACGGACTTCCTTTGGCCTGCCATCAGGTGTTGCGTTGGGGTTCGGAGCTGAGCTGGAGGGTGGGGGAAGCTGGGATGGGCACATCCTCATCTGCTTCCCCCTCCCACAGACAGCAGCGAAGGGGCGCTGGAGGGAATGGTGCAGGGGCTGAGGCAGGGGGGCGTGTCCCTCCTGGGCCAGCTGCAGCCCTTCACTCATGAACAGTGGCGGAGCTCTTTCATGAGGCGCAACCGAGACCCCCAGCTCAATGAGCGAGTGCACCGCGTGCGTGCGCTGCAGAGCACACTCAAGGTCAGCTGGAGGGCACTGGGCATGGGGAGGGACTGGGCGCTGGGCTTTCTGTTCTGGTTCCTGGCCCTGAGCGCTGGGCTCAGCTGTGGACTGGGCCGAGTTCTAGGTTCCCGGAGCCAGCCTCTCAATGTGAGGTTCGGGGCTAGGCCGAGCCAGGTGCTGGGTTCTAAACCTGGACTCCAGAGTGAGCTCTGGACTTGGACTCTGGCCCGTCTCCCCACGTGATCATGGCCCCTTAACTCCCCACTCTCTTCACAGGCAAAGCTGCAGGAGCTGCAGGCCTTGGAGGAAGTACTCGGTGACCCAGAGCTGACAGGAGAGAAGTTCCGGCAGTGGAAGGAGCAGAACCAAGAGCTCTACTCAGAGGGCCTGGGAGGCTGGGGAGTGGTGCAGTCTGAGGGCCACTCCCAAGTCCCCAGCTCTGACTCCAGAGAACAGTCTTCCCACCCCCTGGCCTCTGACCCTGAGGAGCAGTCCCATCTCTGCCCCCTGACCCCAGAGAGCAACCTCCGACCTCCTGACCTCTGACCTTGGTCCATACCCTGGATCCTGACCTCTGGCCTTGAGGACCACCTCAGCCCCCAAGTCCTGACATGTCCAAGACAGAGCATCCCCGGGTTCTGTTCAAGGTTGGAAGTAGTCCGTGTGTCACCCCCAGAGGCCCCCCTTTGCCCACGTGTCCACCATTTCTGCTCCTCTCTCCCTTGGAGTGGGTCGAAACGAAGTGCACTCCATGCCATCCTCTCTCTTGCCAATGAAGGAGTGGCAAGCTGGGCTGAAATTCTCTCCCCCTTCATCCTCCCACCTGTGGGGCACAAACCTGTCCCCTTCCATCTCTGGCCCTTCTCCCTTCCCACCTTGTATAGGTGCTCATTTTACACAAACACTTTCAACAAAATAAAATCAGTTTATTTAAAATGAATCTACGTGTGCCTTTGACTGCATAGTAGAACCCCGAATCTGCTCCCGGAGGGGACAAGGATGGAAAGTATCAGGAGGACATGAATGTAACTAGTCTTGGTAACTAGTTAGTCTTGGTAACTAGTAGTTGGGAACTAACTCAGTAACTAGATCATCTCGGTAACTAGGCCACCATGTGTGCAGACCAGCAGCCTGGGCCCTGTAGCTGAAGTCTGTACCTGTCAGGATGCTGAGTTGCTGATCCATGACGCGTGAGCGCTTCCACATAAGCATCTCTCCAAGCGCTTCGCAGACAGGGCTGCTCTCCTGCCCCATCCTCAGTGGGGGCACGAACAGCAACAGACGGGCCTTTTGCTCTAGATGGAGAAGCACACCTTGCATGGAAGGACAGGGTGAGCAGTCCTGGGGACTGGGGTCATGGACGGCATAGCTGGTGGGAAGGGGTACAGTTTGAGGTCAGCTGGGAGGAGGGCCTCCGGGCCTCTCTTCTCTCCTCTCTGCTCTCCTCCTAGTCTCACCTCCAGCTCCTGGACCTGAAGAAGAAGAAGGGACAAGCCCCTGTGTCTCCATCCAAGCTGTACAAGAGATCTGACCTTCTCCCATCAGCCTCTGACCTCTGACCGCAGCCCAGCCCCTTGGTGTCCCTGGCTTCCTCCGTGGGGTACCAAGGGCAGTCAGTGGGAGGAGCTTTTCTCGGTATCAGAATTCCTTGGTGGAATGCAGACAGCTGGAGGTCACAGAGTCCTCTATGATATCACCACGAGGGGGAGCAAGACCATTTGGAAAGAAGTTTCTTTGACGGGTGGGAGGAGACTGAGCAACTATGATAGGTAACCAAGACAACTGGTGGCAGCAGTGGACCGATACCAATATTAAACCTTTGACTGTCCTGGTAGGTGACCCCTTCCTCAGTCTACCCCAGTTGGGCATGCCAGGGAGGGGCAGGGCGCAGGGGCATCGCCCTGGGTCCCAGGGGCCACAGCTGCACTGATGGTCCCTCTGCTCAACCTTGCAGAGGGCCCCTGATGAGCCCTACGCCCGGCCAGAGGAGCAAGTCCTCATCAATCGCCAGGACATCATGAGCACCAAGGTAAGGAGGAGGCTGGGGTGGCGGCCTGTAGCACCTCCCCCGCCCCCACAGTCAGCCTTGTGCCGCTGCACCCCAGGGACCATGGGCTGCCATCGTAACTCTGCCCCTTCTAGTTTCTAAACATCCCCCGGAGGACCTTTCCAGTGACCCCTGCAGTGACCCCCTCATGGCATGTTAGTACCCACCTGGCAGTGCTCCCCATGGGAACCCCGTATAATGACAGTCATTTACCAGCTGAGCCCTCAAAGGTCTCCCTTGCAATGACTCCCACAAAGATTCCCCAGCAGTCCCCACCTTTCAATGTCCATTTAGGTAGTGATCCCCTACATCGATGCCCCCATTTCAAGAACCCTCTCAGGCAGCTTCTCCCCCTAGAGCGGCCCTCATCCAGGGGCCCCCATTCACTGAGAACAAATGTCCAGGCCGAGGCCTCCCACGTGACACCTGCCTGAAGGAAGGTCCCCCGCCCTCTCCCAGGATGCCTGGGACATCCAGGAGTTCATCACTCGCATGTATATCCAGCAGCTGCTTCGACACCCCGCCTTCCAGCTGCTGCTGGCCTTCCTGCTGGTGGTCAACGCCATCACCATTGCTCTGCGCACCAACTCCTTCCTTGGCCAGGTGGGACTCCAGCCCGACCTCTGCCCCCACTGATCCAACAGGGGGCCTGGGCAAGCCACTTTCCTCTCTGGGCCTCAGGCCCCTCACCTGTTCATGACGATTGCATTGAATGTTCTTCAGGGGCCTGCCAGTTCTGACCTTCTAGGAAATTAGAGCTCAAGGAGGACTTTGTGGTGGAGGGGGCCCAGACTTGTTGTAGAGAGGGAGGGAGAAAAATAGTGTGAGCAGAGGCAGACAAATGGGTGCCTGGTGGGGGAGGGTATTCCAATTTAATCAAAAGTCACTATGAGAAGTTCTAGGTATGATCACAGCAGACCGAATGCTGTCTCAGACACAAGCATGTCATTATGGATACCTGAGTGTCACGGAGTACGTGGAAGTTCCAAGTAGGCATCGAACCTGCCTAATCTGTACAGTTAGGGAAGGCTTCTTGTGGAAAAGAATGCTTCAGATGGGAAGAAGGAGTAAGTAGGAGTCATCCAGACAGAGAGAGGTGGGAAAGAGTGTTTAGGGATGGAAGAAAGATCTTGTGAGCAAGTTCTGTATGTCCATCTTGAAGTCCAGTATGCTTTTGGTCTTATCCTTGATGTATTTTTTTTAAGATTTTATTTATGTATTTGACAGAGATCACAAGTAGGCAGAGAGGCAGGTGGGGTGGTGGGGGAAGCGGGCTTCCTGCTGAGCAGAGAGCCCGATGTGGGGCTCGATCCCAGGACCCTAAGATCATGACCTGAGCTGAAGTCAGAGGCTTCAGAAAGACTGGTTCGTTCTTTCTTTCTTTCTTTTTTTCTTTCTTTTTTTCTTTCTTTCTTTCTTTCTTTCTTTCTTTCTTTCTTTCTTTCTTTCTTTCTTTCTTTCTTTCTCTTTCTCTCTTTCTTTCTTCTTAAGATTTATTTTCTTGAGAGAGAGACAGAACAAGCAGGGGAAGGGGGCAGAGAGAGAAGGGGAGAGACTCCACTGAGTGGGAAGCCTGATGTGGGGCTTGATCCCAGGACTTCAAGATCATGCCCTGAGCCGAAATCAAGAGTCAGAGGCTTAGCCAACTGAGCCACCCAGGCGCCCCCAATCACTATTCTTTCCAACAAACAGTAAGCGCTTAATATGTGTACACTGTTTAACATACCTTATCCTCTCACACATGTAGAGAAAAGGAGAGCAAGGACTTACATTTCTGGCTTGAGCAACTGTGTGGGGACGGTGCTGATTTTTGGGGTGTGGGGGACACAGAGCTGTAAGCAGGTGTGGGGAGGATGCTGAGGTCAGATTGAGTTGAGTGGTGTGGTGGTTGGAGGTGCCAGGGCAATATCCACACAGAGATGTCTAAGGAGAGATTCGAGGTCAACTCTGAACCAAGAGATCGGGGATAGAGATGGCAGCGTGAGGGTTGACAGCATCTGGGTACGTGGTGGCCAGAAGCTAAAGGAGGAGATGAGGCCACCTGAGGAGAGAGTGTCCAGTGAGAAGGGAAGCACCCAGGACAGAGCTCTGAGGAGAGCCTTCCAGTGAGGACAGAGAATGGTGGTGGCCAAATGAAAGAAGAATAAGGAGGGGTGGGCAGAAGAGTGGGAACACCTGGGAGAATGGGCTGTCGGGGAGGGTGGGGTGCAGGGCCAGAGAAGGTGAGAGAGGAGGCCAGAGAAGGATCACGGAGCATCCCTTGGGTTTAATTCTTGTGGCCTTGACAAGAACGGCCTCTGGTGTGGTGGAGGCAGAAACCCAGCAGCCAAGATGGCAGCTTCTACCCCTCAAGGATCGTGAGATCGGTCCAGACTGCAGACACCAGCCTTCTGAGATAGAATGAAGCCAAATGAAAAAGAAGGAAATAAAAGTTGTATGTGTTGGGTGGGGGCAGGAGGAAGAGAGGGTACTCTGCTGCAAAATACAAAGCATATCCATATTCCCATGGGTCCTGGTCAAAAATGCTGATATGTGTCCATGAAGGTAAAATCCTAGAGGCCTGTGAATGTCAGACTGGTTTTGACCTGGTTCAGACCCAGTAGGCCATCGGGAGCCATGGCAGGCTTGTGGCAGAGGAAGCAAACTCTAGAATCTCATGACTTGGAGAAGGCAGGAGGCCTACCCAGGTAGGTCGTGTGGTAAACAGTGAGGAGAGCTGTTGCCTCCCAGGGCCAGTGGGATGGAGCTGAGGGGACAGATGATGGGAAAGAAAGTTCTTCCTTGTTGTAAACAGACATCCCTGGCCTGTGATGCCCTTTGAGAATGTGGAACAGGTAGAGGGCTCATAACCTTAACCTCCCATCTGGGTTTAAGGAGCTCTGCTCAGCCTCTCATGAACCAGTGGACATGGGTGATGGTAAGGTGGGGGAACCAGGAGGCCTCTGTGTGTGGCAGTGAGCTTTGAGGCACTGAGTCTTGACCATGGAAGTGAAGGAAGGGAAGAGTCTTTACAAGAATTTTGGTAACTGCCAGGGTGGAATCAGAGGTTCTAGGAGCTGTTAGTGGGATCACAAACTATAGTTGGGTCAGTATAGTATGAGAGATTGGAGGGGAAAGTGAGTTGGATTTCAAAAAGAATTCAAGGTCATCAAGTCATCCATCCATCCATCAGTCCACCCAGGGAACTGGACCCATGAGTATGGGGGATACATAGGAGTTTGGCCAGGCTTTGCCTGGGGAATTCGGGAGCTGGAGAAGCAGGAGTGGCTGGGACAACCAGAGAAGGAAGGATGAGGCTTGTATCTGCCATCTCGGGGGCAGGGCCTTTCTTTCCAGTCCTGGGGCCTCTTCTACCTCTCCCAAACCCCTCTTTCTCGCGCGTCCCTACTCTAGAGGTTAGGAGGGAAAGTTTATAGCCAGACAACAGTCTTTCTTGCTAACTATCTGACCTTGGGCACCTCTCTGATTCCTCCTCTGTGAGAGGAGGAGCATCACCCCCTCCTACTACTTTGTAGGAGGGGGGTGATACTAACATGAACGGCACATGTACATGGAAAATGTGCTCTAAAGGGAGCCGCAAGGATATTGAGGATGAAAAGCAGCAGGAATACAGGCCTTCCTTCCCCCGTGGATGCCCGCTCTCTCCGGCCTCCCCCAGGCTCTGCTCCACTGACCTCTCGGCCCCTCTCTTTTTCTCTGTCTTCCGTATAGAAACACTATGAGTTGTTCTCTACCATAGATGACATTGTGCTGACCATCCTCATCTGTGAGGTTCTCCTTGGCTGGTTAAATGGCTTCTGGATTTTCTGGAAGGTAAGATCCTGGGCTCTCCCTGCCCTTGCCCCAGCTCCTCCTTAGGGACTATACCCCAACCCTGTGCTTCTGCCCCAACAAGCTGAGAAGCATGCGCGTGCATGCATGCGTGTGTGTGTGTGTCTGTGATGTGGAGAAAGAGACTATTTCTGAGATGTCTGTCTGAGATGCAGCAGGAAATAATTTGTCCTTGAAGTGCAGCCTCCCTGGGTTCTAGTCCCTGGATTAGCCTTCCCCAGTTCTGTGATCTTGGGAAAATCTTGCTTTCCTTACCTGAGAAATGGGTTTGAGAGTCTCCACCTTAATTTACAAGGTTCAAGAGCAGAGGTCAGCAGACTTTCTGCAAAGGGCCGGGTAAGTATCTTAAGCTCTGTGGGCCATACAGGACCTGTGACAGACACTCACCTCTTCCCGGAACACAAATGCCCTGTAAACAGTCCAGCCAAGCTGACCATGGCCGTGTTCCCAGGAAGCTTTATTCACAGACACTGAAATTTGAATTTCATATAATTTTCACATGTCACAAAGTACCGTTCTTTTGATTTTGCCCCCTAACCATTTAAAAATATAAAAACCATTCTTAGCCTGAGGGTCTTACAAAAAATGGGCTGCTGGCCAGATTGACCCAGAGGCTGTAGCTTGCTGACTCCTGTTCAGGAGAGTGTCAGAGCTGTCTGGGTGGGAACAGGTCTCAATGTTATATTAAGTGAGACGAGGACTCAAGCTTTGTTTCACTAGGACTTCTGCAGTCAAGTGATTTCTGAAGTCAAGGGATTTATTTTGCCTTTGGGCATGTTTGAGAAGAGGCTTTAAAAAAAACCTATCAGGGGGGTGCCTGGGTGACTCAGTGGGTTAAAGCCTCTGCCTTCGGCTAGGGTCATGATCCCAGGGTCCTGGGATCAAGCCCCCTGCCTGCCTCTCTGCCTACTTGTGATCTCTGTCTGTCAAATAAATAAATAAAATCTTAAAAAGAAACAACAACAAAAAAAACCTATCAAGGAGCACCTGTTTGGCTTAGTCAGTAGCGTCTGACTTCAGCTCAGGCCATGATCATCCCAGGGTCCTGGGATCAAGCCCTGAGTCGGGCTCCCTGCTCAGGGGGAGCCTTCTTCTCCCTCTCCCTCTGCTGCTCCCCACCACTCACATGCTCTCTTACTATCTGTCCCTCTCTCAAATAAATAAATAAAATCTTAAAAAGAAAAAAAAAAATCAGGGGCCTCAGTTGGTGGAGCGTGCAACTCTTAAACTCAGGGTTGTGAGTTCAAGCCCAACATTGGGTATAGAGATTACTTAAAAATAAAATCTTTAGGGGTGACTGGGAGGCTTGGTTGGTTGAGCATCTTGATTTGATTGAACCCAAATCCTCTTGGTTTCAGGTCAGGTCATGATCCCAGGGTCCTGGGATTGAGTCCCGAATCAGGCTCCTTACTCGGCAAGGAGCCTGCTTCTCTCGCTGCCTCTGCCTGCCTCTCTGCCTGCTTGTGTATACTCTCTCTTTCTCTCTCTGGCAAATAAATAAAATCTTTAAAAAAAAAAAAAGTAAAAATGAAAAAAATTGAATAAATAAAATAAAATAATAAAAATAAAATCTTTTTAAAAAACATCAAGTACTTACACCTTTTATAAAAATAAACATTCATTTATTTCTTAAAAAATATTTTATTTATTTATTCATTTGAGAGAGAGAGCCCAGAGTGAGAGAGAGCACGAGTCGGGGGAAGGGAGAAGGAGAAGGAGAAGTAGTCTCCCCGCTGATCAGGTAGCCCAATGTAGGGTTCGATCCCCAGGACCTTGGGATCATGACCTGAGCAGAAGGCAGACACTTAACCAACTGAGCCACTCAGGTGCCCTGGAAGTATCTTTTAAAAACCATTAGCAGGGGGTGCCTGGGTGGCTCAATCAGTTACGAGGGTGACTTCGGCTCAGATCATAGTCTCGGGGTCCTGGGATCGAGCCTCACATCAGGCTCCCCAGTCAGTAGGGAGTCTGCTTGTCCCTCTGCCCCTCCCCCTGCTCCTCCTCCTCTCTCTCTCTCTCCCTCTCTCAAGTAAATGAATAAAATCTTAAAAAATAAATAAATGCCATTACCAGGATAATCAATTAAAATTATAAGTTTTCCAGAGGTCAGAGGTTTTACTTCATAGAATACAGAGTGTAGAACCCAGAACATTTCTGAAGTCTGGATGTCCTAAGAACTGCTTTGTGCAAGCAACGTTTGCAAGGATGTTTATTAAGAGAAAATAGAATGGGCTGGTGCATTTTTACATGTTTGCACACTCAGGCTTTTTGTGAACATTTCAATACACCACTTTATCAGAACTAGCCCTAGGAGGCAGGGGGGCAGCTGTTCCATGAGTGAACACAGTTCCTCCTTCATATCTTCTTGAGATTTCTTTTCACCAGCAGTTAGGGGGTCTGCATTTTCTGGACAAGGCTTTTTTACTTATTTATTTTTATTCTTATTCTTTTTAAGATTTTATTTATTTATTTGATGGAGAGAGAGAGAGAGCATGAGAGGGAACACAAGCAGGGGGAGTGGAGAGGGAGAAGCTAATTCCCCACTAAACAGGGAGTCCCATGCAGGGCTCGATGCAGGGCTTGATGCAGGGCTTGATCCCAGGACCCTGGGACCTGAGCCGATGGCAGACGCTTATGGCAGACACTTAAGGACTGAGCCACCCAGGCACCCCATTCTTATTTTTTTAAGTAAGCTCTATGCCCAGTGTGGGGCTTGAACTCATGAACCTGAGATCAAGAGTGGCACGCCCTACTGAGTCAGCCAGGTGCCCCAGGGGCCTACACTTTCAAGGCTAAGCCCCAGGGTTCCAATAGCGCAAGAGAATTGAAGCAAGCCTGAGAATCTAATGTTCCTCCAAGGCACTCTGCTTGTCCCCTAAATCCGGGTTTCTCAACCTTGGCACTATTGACATTTTGACTTGGATAATCCTTTACTGTAGGGGCTAGCCAATGCACTGAAAGAAATATCCCTGGCCTCTCCCACTAGAAGCCATTAGCACCTTCCCAGTCGTGACAAACTAGTCATGACATTCTGAAGTGTCCCCTAGAGGGCAAAATCATCCCTGGCTGAGAACTAATGTCCTAAACCCTAACTTTCCTTTAGGGCCCAGGCTTCTGGTGCCAAAAGCCAGGGCTTGTGGGAGACTGCTTCTGCCCCACCCCCCCTCCTCATCCATCCCCTCCCTTCTTAACCCGCTCCCTGATAAATAGCCGTGGTAGAAGGGGAGGCAAGAGGAGGGAAAGGGGAGATGCGGGAAAGGGAAGAAAGTCTGTAAATTAATATCTCAAAATATTACCCAGCCTCATAGGAATCCCCAAAGTTTAGTCCCTAGCTCTTCCTTTTCTTCTACCCTGTGGGGTCCCTCCCACCTCCTCACCCCGACAGCCTATTAATTACTATTTCACCACCTAAATGTTTCTCAAATTCTTAAAAATACCAGAAGCTCCCTATGGTTTATAGGATCAGGTCCAGTTGCTTTAGAGTGCTTGAGGCCTTCCAAGATGTAGCTTGCTTATTTTTGTGGCCTCATCATTCTCTGCCTTGCCCTTGACGTTCCAGCTACCAAAATGATAGTCGCATTCCCCAACACACGCACGCACGCGCGCGCACACACACTGCTGCCTCTCACCTCCTGCCTTTATTCAAGCTGAGCCCTAGTCCATGAAAGCCACTTGTCACGTGACTCATTTGCTTTACTCCTGCTTACAGCTTAAGACTCCTTCAAATATCTTCTCTTCCAGGAATTTTCCTGTCTCTCCCAGGCCAGGTTAGGTGTTGCTGCATCTCCCTGATGCTGTGTACTTATCGGTCTTACACGGGGTTTAAATTCATTATCTATCTTCCTGGAAATAGTCGGTGTGCCCTGCAGGGCAGAAACCTTGTATCCTATGATCCCGTTCAGGGTCTGGCATACAGTAGGAGCTTAATACTGGCTGGGTGGAGGGCTGAATCTGTGGATAGACAGACTTGCATCTCCTTGTGTATGTGTAGGCACAAGCGTGCTGAATGTGGGATACCAGGAAGGCTTGTGTTCGTTGAACTGCCCAATACATTTAAGAACATTTTTTCCTGCTAAAAAATAGTTTTCCTTTTTGAATATTTAATGCAGATACAGATTGGTCAAAACTAGATGGAAAGGTAGGTACACAGAGAATACTTCTTCCACTCCTTCCCTTCATCTCTTCCCTTCCCCATCAGGTGGTCTTTTTGTATTTATAGTCTCTTGTTTGTCCTCATAGTGTTTATCTTTTTTTTTTAAGATTTTATTTATTTGACAGACAGAGATCACAAGCAGGCAGAGAGGCAGGCAGAGAGAGAGGAGGAAGCAGGCTCCCTGCTGAGCAGAGAGCCCGATGCGGGGCTCGATGCGGGGCTCGATCCCAGGACCCTGAGATCATGACCTGAGCCGAAGGCAGAGGCTTTAACCCACTGAGCCACCCAGGCGCCCCTCATAGTGTGTATCTTGCAATCATAAGTTAATATGTATGTATCTTAGTCCTCCCTTTCCTTTGTCCTCCCTCCGTTTGCACTTGGCTTTTGTCACTTAATGGATCCTGGCAACCTTTCTGTATCAGTACATGGAGATCTTTCTTGTTCCTCTTTTTTGGCTATGCAGTGCTCACTGACTAAATGCTCCATGGTTTACTCAGCAGTGTCTCATTGTCGGACACTTTAGTGGTCTTCAGCCTTACACAAATGGCATTTTGTACTTGGATCAGAGTTTCCACAGTTCACATTTTAGAGTGGGATCACTGGTTAAAAGCTAAATGCATCCATAGTTTGCTACATAAGTTCCCATCTTTACTGGCTGTGCTTGAACTTTTCATACACGGGAGCTTCCTTTCTCTGTCCCCATTCCTCTATGACTTTGTTCCTTGCTGGACAAAGGGCTTGTAAAAATTCCCTGTGTCTCTCTCTCTCTTGCACAGTGAGAGCTAGTCCACTTCTAAACTGGCTATCGAAGCTGTATTCTTTAATGGTTTTCTTAGTATTTATTTTCATCTTATTATTAATTGGAGCGTGTGTCACACAAAGCCTGGAGCGCCCAAACCCTCTCCTGTCCCCTAAGTGTAGGTCGGGGCCATTTTCAGCACCGCACTGGCCAAGGCGGGTGCTCAGCTTGGGAATCAGCTGTGTGTATGAGAGTCTCCACCATGTGTCTCCGAGAATACACTTGGCTGTTGACATACACAGGAGACAACGAGTGCCTGTGTGTTTTGTGGCACATTTGGGGGGCAGCAGGAGAAGTAACAGCAGTGGATGGCAGATGACTGGCCCTGCCCTGAGAAAAACATTGAGCTCCCCCATCCTTGGGGTGGTGGGAAGGCAGACCCAGGATGTCCCCACGGGCTGGGTCTGATAGACGCCATTGGGGCTGGCCCACCTCCCCATCCCCCACCACCCCCAGGACGGCTGGAACATCCTCAACTTCCTTATCATCTTTATCTTGCTCCTGGGGTTGTTCATTAGTGAACTCAATGTCAACGCTATCACCTATACCCTCAGGTGAGCTGGGAACTCTGGGGAAAAGAAGGGCACCTGTCTGGACCCCAGAAGAGAGATGGGGTGGGGATCATCTCTGCCCCTCTGGGCAGATCAGGGGTAAGTGGGGCGGAGGGGCACGGGAAGGGCCGAGGGGCACCCCTGAGAGGCTGTGCTGTAGGGCACTTCGTCTGGTGCATGTGTGCATGGCGGTGGAGCCTCTGGCCCGGATCATCCGTGTCATCCTGCAGTCGGTGCCTGACATGGCCAACATCATGACCCTCATCCTTTTCTTCATGCTGGTCAGTGCCCTCCCCCACCCCCAGCTGCTCCCTTTCCCTGACCAGAGCCCCCAGGTCACGGGGGGCTGGGGGGAGGGGGTAGCTAGAGAAGAAGAGAGGCCTCTGGGCCTGAACCCCTGGGATTCCCTTGGCAGCTTTGCATGGCAGCTGCTTGTCCTGTCTCCAAGGTTGTTGGTTTAAGTTCAGGCATCTTCTTTGGTCTCTCCGGCAGGTGTTTTCCGTGTTTGGGGTCACTCTCTTTGGTGCGTTTCTGCCCATGCATTTCCAGAACATGCAGGTTGCACTGTATACCCTCTTCATCTGCATCACCCAAGATGGCTGGGTGGATATCTACAATAACTTCCAGTGAGTGCCTGCAGGGTATCTCTTCCCCCCTCCCCCGACCCCCAGTGGGGCAAGGCAGTAGGAGTGGAGCTCCAGGGCTTAGGAGGAGGATGGCCCAGCAGGAGGGGGCTGCCTGGGCCTTCAAATCAGGGAAAAGGAGACCCCCTAGGACTGGTCTTGGTTTTCTCGAGGCCTTGTCCCCCTTTCAAAGTCCTACTGCAGACCCGTTCATGAAGATGGCCCCTGTCACACTAAACAGCTGGGTAGCGAGACCTTGAGCAAGAGAGCAGATCTGTGGTTTCAGGACAGCCTCCCAGCCCCCATTCGAGCCCATCAAACTGCCTAGACTCCTGGGAGCCTCATTTCATTCATTCATAGACCCACTGCCCAAGGTCATTTTTGGCCACAGATGGCCACCGGGTTCTGTTCTTTATGTCTTTTCCATTTACCTCTCAACCCTACTTGTTTCTGGCCCCCTCCAGGGAGTAGGTCTCTCTGACTGATACCTTTTTTCTCTTGAGAGAGTAGAACAGTCGGCAAAGAGCTTCTGCAGGTATTGCCCAGTATGATGTAGGCAGTGGAAAAATCACAGGGTGAGCAGTAAAGGTAGACTGAAGGCTGGGCTTTTGAGTCCTTGCTCTATCACACTAGCCATGCAACCTTGGACAGATTACTTCATCTCTCTTCTGAGCCTCAGCTTCTTTACCTGGCAGTTGGGAATTATAATAATTATGTCTGAACTGCTGTGATCAATAGAGAAAAGCTCTATAAATCTCTTAGCATAGAGCCTGGAACAGAGTGCATATATACATATGTGTGTGGTGGGGGGAATGTAATGAAAGAGAGAGAAAGGGAGAAAGACCTTCTTACTTAGGAGATTCATAATAAGGTATTAAGAGTGGATGGGCTTTTTTCCTGCATTTCTCACTTCTTCCTTCTGATCCTTCTATAATGAGCTTGAATTACTTTTGATAATAAGAAAAACATGAATAAAGAGTATAGCCAATAGATTAAACTTGATAATGCCGATGTACAAATCCCCACCTTGGAGGGCTGGCTTGAGGCCTATGCTCTGTCCCTGGCAGGACAGCAGGTGCTCAGCAAAGAGTGGATCCTTTGACAATCAGAGCAGGCACTAGATCTGCCCAACAGCAGTGAGGTAGCAGAAGTCCCAGGAGGTCTTGAGATATTGTCCGCATTTCATAGATGGGGAAATGGAGACTCAAAGGGCCAGGGTGGTGATGGGGCCCCTGCCTGTCATCTCCAGGATGGAGACAAGAGAGTATGCAATGGAGATTGGGGGTGCCATCTACTTTGCCACCTTCATCACCATCGGTGCCTTTATTGGCATCAACCTGTTTGTTGTTGTGGTCACCACCAATCTGGAGCAAATGATGAAGGCAGGAGAGCAGGGGCAACTGCATCAGATAAACTTCAGTGAGGTAAGTGGGCTGGGGAGGACAGAAGGGAGGAGAGGGTGAACGTATAGGTGCTGACTTGAGCACATGTATGTGTGTGTGTGTGTGCCCATGTGTGCACACACGCTTGCACCCTTAAGGGCCTAGAGAAAGTCAAGCCTGAGACGTGGGGACAGCATCCCCCACCCTGTGTGCCATCTGAGGGGTGTGGGTCCCCTAGATGTCTGGTTTCCATGGCAACTCAAAACTGAGTGGCTGGGTAACCTTAGGTCTAAACCTTGACGTCTTCTTCCATAAAATGGGAATAATAATAGTACTGTTCTCATAGGACTATTATGAGAATTATGTGGATAAATGAACAGTAGTGGGCACACAGGTAGAACTCCTTAAATGTTAGCTACAGTGTTATTCATTCATGGGTAGGACTTCCAAAATGTTGGTGGAGTGGAAGGGGAGTACGTCCCAAATGTTGAGGGCTAGGAACTATGACTTGAGAGTAGGTAGAGCTTTAGAGGTTGGTTAGGTAGGATTTATCAGGAGTGAAATTGGGTGCTAAGTTTTGAAAAGGGATGAGAATTTTCCAAGAGGTGGAGGAGGGGGTAATGCATTTGAAGCTGAGCTCCCACAGCAGGGTGGGAGGGCTAAGATTGGTTGGAGCTGAAATGAGGGGCATTAGAACCCTGGTGTCCTAAGAGACTCATCCTCCCCCAAACCAAGCGGGAAGGGGCTGGGGGAGGGTTGCCGGCTGAGCTGCCTTCTCCTCTCCATTTCCCTCTTCCCAGGGAGGCAAGCAGGAGCTGGATGGAAGTAATGAGCTGCCGGTGGTGCACTGTGTGGTTGCCCGTCTGGAAACGTCTGGCGTCCCACAGGAGCCACTGTCGGCGGGCCACCTGTCTAACCTCTCAGAAAACACCTATGACAACTTTTGCTTGGTGCTCGAGGCAATACAGGAGAACTTGATGCAGTACAAGGAGATCCGAGATGAGCTCAACACGTAGGGCGGGTACTGGGGGTACCCCGAGTCCCGTGAGTCCGGGCTGAGCAGAGCTTCAGATATTTCTGGCTTCACGCCCTCACCGGTTTATAAGGCGGACCCTGCGGCCCAGAGAGGTTTCAATGACTGTTGGGAGTCGGTGGGTGGAGGAGCCAGAATCCAGACCTTCCTGTTCCTTCCATCTCACACGAGCGCGCAGATTGGCTTGGATCTCCACAGGAGCAAAGGGGGAGGGCGGAGCGGAGTGGAGGCCAGGGAAGAGATGGGAGGGCAGCCCCGCTTCTTCCACTCGCTCAGCCCTCGGAAAGTACTCATCCTTCCGCCCGCAGGATAGTGGAGGAGGTCCGCTCCATCCGCTTCAACCAGGAGCAGGAGGAGGAGCTGTTGCACAAGCACTTGTCACTGAACCTGTCGGTGGTGAGCGGCTCCTCCCTGGACATCCGTGACATGACCTGCCAGCAAGACTTGATCACAGCACTCATCAACAGGGAGAAGGTGCGTGCAGCTTCCCTCTCCTACCCAGCAAGTGCTAGCCCGCCTCGCACCCCCAGGCCAGCCAAGCCTCTGCCCCATGAGCCAAGCTTTCTGTCTGTTCCGAGATCGGATCCCCTGCTTGGACCCTTGCGTGCCGGTGGCGGCAGCCTCGGAGGATCCCTTCGGTTCCACCCTTTCCCTCTCCGAGAGGCTCTGCCCCAACCCTCATCAGGCTCCTCCCACTGAGTCACTTAAGTCCCTGACTCCCTCAAACCTGCTACTCCTTCTTAGGGTGGTAAGAGCCAACTCCGTTTCTGCCTGGTGGCAGATACCTAGGCTCACTGTGGGGAGCGGACCCCTGGGTTCACACTAGAGCACCCCAGAACAGCCTCTTTCAGAGGGAGGAAGCTTCTAGGGAGAAAAAGGCACACACCCATTTTCCTTAGTTCCTTTCTCTGCTTCCCATACCACCTGAGGGGGCTAGAATGACCTGGAGCCTTGTGAATGTCCACAGCTCCCAAGCTTGGACAGGACACTAGGCAGCTAGAGTCAAACATAGGAATGACTTCCCTGGGAAGCCGGCTGGGGTAGCTGGTAAAGCTAGCAGAGGGGAGTGAGGGGGTGTATGCCATGTGAAGGTGGGGGACTGACACAAGCCCCTTGGTTTGCAGGTTCAGGAATCCAACACAAACATACTCCTTAACAAACACAAGAGCAGCCGCTGAGAGGCAGAATGGGAGCCAAGGGGCCTGAACACATACAGCCAGCGGCATTTTCCTGCATCTCTATGTGACTTGGCACAGTCTGTCCTGAGCCCACCTTCTGCCTTACAGCTAGGCAAATCCCTGGGGCTGTGAAGGGGGTGGCTTCTCCAGGGCTTGTGTCTGTGAGCCCCAGGTCCGGAGGAATTCAGATGGAGAAGGATGCTGGATGAGAGAAGGAGCCCCACAGCAAAGAATGAGCACGGAAAGGGAGCGATGGCCAAGGCAGCCAAGATTAGTCCTACGGATGGACATCCCTGGTCCCCTGCTTTAGGCCAGAGCTAGCTGGGGCCCAAGATGACCTAAACACCTAGAGGAGAAAGGTGAAGCCAGTGGGGCCAGGCATCTATGTATTGACAATAAAGTTTTGTGTTGGGATCAATATGTCTGACTGGTAGATCTCCAAACTTGGGCCAGTCTTGCCCCTTAAAAGCCTGTTTGTCTGATGGGAGAGTTACTGGCTGCCCTCTAGAGCTTTCCAGTCTAATGGGAGAGAGAATGTACCCTGAAATTTTCTGACTTAATGTTAGGGATGTAATCTCCCCTTAGTGTTCTATTTTTTTTTTTTTTTTGGCAGGGGAGGGGGTGGGAATCTGGTTCTCATGGTTGGGAGCCCTAGTCTGATGAAGGAGACAGCCCCAAGATAGAGAAGACTGGTCTTCATTCTGGGTGGAGGGGGCTAGTCTGATGAGGTCACACCGACCAGTCATGCAGGTACAGCTTTCCAGAGGAGAGGAGCCCTGGAGCTTGCCTGAAGGTTGCAGAAAGAGTTTGTGGGTCAGATGAATGAGATCTGATGGGATACTTGGGACGTGGGAGGTCTCCTTGGGACCTTCACACTAAAGACTATTGAGAGCCACAGCAAGTTCCTGAGCTAGGAATGCAGGAATCTGAGAAAGCTGCGGCAGTCATAGGCATTAGGAAGAGCTGCCTGGAGGCCTGGATTCTCATCCTTGGGTAAGTCATTGGACTTCATTTTCCCCAGCTGTGCAGTGGGGAGACGGTGAGATTGATCTGCAGCTCTAAAATCAAGTGGCCAGCTCTTAGCCCAAGAATTGGGAGACCAGTAAGATCATCCATGTCATTGAGACTCAGATTCCCTGGTGTTGTGCTGGGGGAAGGCTGGAAGGCCCAGAGTTCTGCCCAGCTGGTCAGCAAAGGCTGACAGAGGCCTTGGGAATATTTACCAGTTGGAATGGGCGTCCCCAGAGGCCCACTCATTGCAGCTGGTGGGAAACTTCACCTTCCATCCACCTCTTGTCTGCGTTGGTTCCAACTCTGTAAAGTCCCCTGGGGCCAGCTAGGAAGGAGTCTGGACAACTGGGGACAGGGGTAGTAGTATACTCAGGCAGAAGAGAGATGGCACCAGTGCCAGCAGCGCCTCGCTGTCTTGGAGCTGCTGTCTGTTCCCCTGTTTGAGCTCAGTGCTCTCCAGGACCATCAACCAGCAGGGCCATGGGCATCCAGTGACTTTTGCGACTACTGCCATCTCTTATAGAAGGAGACCTTAATCTTCCTGGTGAGCACCCACATTATACCTTTTCCATCTATCCTGCTCTGGGGGCTCTCACAGACCTGAATAGAGGGGAAGAAGCTGCCAAAGAAGAGACAGAAGGTAATGTCCCCAAGAAGATCATATAATGTGAGTATAGCCATCCCCCGCCCAACCCTAAGTTGTCTGAATGGCTTGGGACACCAGTGAATTTGGAGGCAGAAGCATGACAGGATAACCTCCAAGGAACTTCTGGCTTTGCTCATCCATCCTCTTCCAGGATGCTATCTTTGTCTACTCCCTCCATCTTGTCTATCAGCCCAGCTGTATCTCCCTTGCTGTCTGTCCTTCCCATCTGTTGCCAGGCCAATAGATTGGGTCGTTCCCTCTTAAGATGGCCCAGACTGGAGGCCTTGGACCCCTACTGCCCTCCCCTGCCCTACTCCAATAAAGAACAATGGCCGCCTCCAAAGCCTCTCTGAGTCCAGATAGGAGTGCAACCCTGGGTCCTGAGCTTCTAGGACAGTATGGGGGAAGATCTTGGGAGGTGGCAGGAAATTGGATGTCTTATTGCCCCCATGAATCTATAACTTTTGCCAGAGAGAAGTATCTTTGGCGAGCACCCAGGAAGCAGATACCATTCTTGGTGAGAGGAGCAGAGGGGATAATCATTACTAGTAGCAGGCTCTACTTATTGAGCATCTACTATAGGCTAAGCACCATGCTAAGTGCTTTATAGGTATCTTCTCATTTAACCCTCATGACCAACAGCAAAGTGGGTACTATTACTATCCCTGTTGTATAGCTGAGGAAACTGAGGCTCATGAACGTGATTCTATCCCAGGTCAGACTTCAGAGGCCAGCCTACACCCCACTCCTTCTCAAAAATACTGCTGTGGATGGGAAAACCTCATTATCATAAAGTTGTCCATTCTTACCACATCTATTATTGTAGCACACTTCCAACCAAAATCCCAACAGGGGTTTTGTAGAACTCAGTAAGTGGATTCTAAACTATATGGTAGAACTAAAAGCCAACAATAGCTGAGATAATTTTGAAGAGCAAGATGGGAGACTCACTCTACCAGATACTGAGATTTGCATTAAAGTAAGATAATATGGTGTCGGTGCAGTGATAGACAAGTGAACCAAAGGAACAAAAGAGCATAGAAATTGGTCTGGGTATATAATGACATATAGCATGACAAATCAGTGAGGGAAGGATGGACTTTACCATAGCATGGCAGGGACAACTGGTTAACTACATGAGGGGAAAAAAAAAACATAAAATCAGATCCAATGGAAACGTCTCTCCCTGCAAATAAAAATCTGTGGCATGGCCTCTATTCATTACAGTCAGGATTTTTGTCGCAAATAGACCCACAGATCACTGGAGCTTAAAGGACTAATACAATATTGAGCCCAAGCCCCTCACTGTTTTGAGGGGGACATGGAAGCATTAAGAGAGTTGGGTCTTCCTCAAGATTACACAGCAAGTCAGTAATAGAGCCAGCTCTAGAACCTAGGTCCTCTTACTCTTTCCACACATTCTGGCCAGCTCTCCTGCCCTGTTGTGACCCCTTAGCTCTGCACAAGGCTAGAATAAAGTGAGGTGTGGAGGGGGCAGGTGCCAGATGGGGGCAGAATTGAAGACAAGGGTTAGTGCCTCTTCAAAGCTAGGTTGTGGGAAGGATGATGAGCCTAACACCTGGGTTGGGTCACCTCCAGTTTTTGGAATTAGTCCTTTGACGACTGTGCCAAGGATGCAATGAGAGAGCATTGGGTTAAGGACCTATTTCTGCCCATCGCCCAGGAGAAAGAGGAAGGTTTCCAAGAGACCCAGCTCTTAGCTGATTTGGGACTTTCTCTCTAGAGTGGTTGGCTCAACCAGGAGTATGAAGCTACATTTTTGCAAGATGGTAGAGTGCGACAGGGAAGACATTGGGCTCTAGAATCTAACAGACCTCGTTTCAAATGCAGTGTCACTACTTCCTGGCTGTGTGACCTTGCACAGTTCTCTTTGCCTGTCTGAACCTCAGTTTCTTCATCATTTCATTATTATAGAAATAATAATCTTTACCTCCTGTTGGTTGTGAGGATTCAATGCAACAATACTTGTGCAATGGAACAGCACCTTACTTGGACAAGGTGAAAACAGAATGATGTCAAAACTATCCTGGACGGCTATTGCATTAAATGAAGCACTTGGATTGCAATTAGGGATCACGTTACCCCCGAAAATGTATATCTTTAAATATTAGAACCATATTCAATGCAGTAGGAAACTCACATCAAGAAAGTCATCTGGGGGGCACCTGGGTGGCTCAGTGGGTTAAAGCCTCTGCCTTCGGCTCGGGTTGTGATCTCGGGGTTCTGGGATGGAGTCCCATATGGGGCTCTCTGCTCAGCGGGAGCCTGCTTCCCGCCCTCCCCCCCCCGCCTGCCTCTCTGCCTACTTGTGATCTCTCTCTCTGTCAAATAAATAAGTAAAATCTTAAAAAAAAAAAAAAAGAAAAGAAAGTCATCTGGATACTGAAGACCAAATGCAATTGCAGATTTCCATCTTTTGCTGACTCTGTCTCTAGAGTAGTCATTGAACAGGAGACATAATTGCCAGCACTGGTGAAATTCATCTGTAAGAGGAATGAAGATCATGCATCAGTTAAGATCTATTAGCACAGGGCTGGCACATAAATGAAAGCAAGTCAGCAATAGTGTAGTTGGTGTTGATATGATTTTTATTGACTCTTCAAATAAACATACTTCATCAACTGAGAACATTTGAAAAGAACTCTGGATTGGTGGAGGGAACAGGTGTATTGGTTTCTTTTTGTTTGTTTGTTTGTTTACAGGAACTATTACAACTCAGGGAGTTGAATCAAATACAGCAGACTCCACAAAAATCTCTGTGCCTAAGGGACCTACAGCATGCTCACTGAAACCTTGGCTCTATCCAACAATGGGAGAGACAACAGCTCTGCAGTTCCCCTTAACCTCTCACCAAGAACCAGGAGGACAGCAATGTCAGAGTCCAGAAGAGTACACCACTAGCTACTCCTCCCATTTTACCACAAGCAAACAGCTCTGCTGTGTCCACTGAGCAGACAACCCCAATACTTGAGACTCCAAATGAGAGATCCAGAAGCACAGCCTCATCTAGAACAGCTACTTCAGCTAAGCACTAAAACAGATTCAGAGAGCTCCAATCAGAGCCCCATTAGCATCAAGCTCCATAATCAATGGATTGGAATCATCAGTGTCCACTGACTCTCAGATATCAGCCACGATCACAGTTCTAATAGCATTAAGCATACCAGGTGATGGCGTCCTATCAATGGGATCCATGACAGCCACTGTGTCTGAGGAGTAAGCTACAATGATTCCCCCAACCAGACTGAACAAGATCACCAATGTGAAAGAATCTCTACCCACGACAACCAGTGCAGTCATCCATACCACTTCAATAGCCCTGACCATCCTAGGGATGACTGTTCCTGGAACAAGCATGTCCGGGACTCTGCAAGGGGAAACTACAGCTGCACACCCAGCCCCAACTATAGCCCTCATGATGAGCATACTGTCCAAAACATGCCACTGCGCTGCCACACAGACACCTTCCTGGCCAGTGGAATCAGCCCCGAGTGCTGGCGCTACAGCAGCCTAGTCACCTGAGACAGCAGCTGCTCACTCAACAGCCCTCATCACCCAGCAGCTTGGGGACAGCAAAGTCCTCTGACTTGAATGGGTCCAGTCAGGTTTCCCTAAATGCACCCAGAGCAGTCGTCCCGGAATAGGAGCCCATGCTTTGGATGAGTACCAGCTGGTGGGGGTGTTTATACATGCAAGGACAACTATGACGCCCTCTTAGGTGAGTCTGAG